TTGGTATTATACTGACCTATATATTAAATAACTGACAGGTCTCAACTGAAGTTGAGTAGTTTTTCTGTGATTTTTCTGTCAAGTACCAATTTGGTAAATAAGAATAGACTACTGAAAAATAAAAAGAATGGACTTAAACAGAATTAAATTTCTCTAGAATTAAAGAGAGGAAAGCAAATTATTTTGCTTTATTTTAAAAAATTTCAGTTAATTCAAATTGATTTGGTATTATACTGACCTATATATTAAATAACTGACAGGTCTCAACTGAAGTTGAGTAGTTTTTCTGTGATTTTTCTGTCAAGTACCAATTTGGTTGGGTATTTTGAGAGTAAATTCTATATAGTGGAAGAATAATTTAAGTGTATTGGTATAGGATCATAATTTCAGTTATATTGATGGGTACAGGCTAGTCTCAGAGATTCTGCCTTCATTTTTAATCTTATATTTAGAACATATTTTTGCAAGAGGTTTAAAGAGTTACCATTTGTGTATTTGGAAGCCTTATGAGTCAATAAGAAAAACACAAATAATCCAGTAGGTAAATGAGCAAACGATATTAAGGTAGTTCGTGGAAAAAATGTTAAGTGGCTTACAAACTGTATTAGTTTGCTAGGGCTACCATGATAAAATACCACAGACTGGGTGACTTTAACAACAGAAATTTATTTTCTCACAGTTCTGCAGGCTGGAAGTCCAAAGTTGAGGTATCAGTAGATTTGGTTTCTTCTGAGGCCTCTCTTCTTGCCATGGAGATGGCTGCCTTTTAGTTGTACCCTCACATAGCCTTTTCTCTGTGTGCATGCATCCTTGATGTCTCTTTTTCTAATAAGGACACTAGTCATATTGGATTAGGGCCCCATCCTTATGTCCTCTGTTTAACCTTATTTATTTCTAAAGGCCTTATGTCCAGATACAGTCACATTTGCATTTAGGTAGGGCTCCGACATACAAATTTTGGGGGGACACAATTCACTCCATAACCTATATGTATGAAAACATGTTGATTCACATTAGTATTTAGTGAAATACAATTTTGTTTTTTAAAAAAGGAAAATATAAACTTGTAATTATCAGGTTGGCAAAAAATTTTAAAGATTAATAATATTCAATATTGTTGAAGATGTAGAAGGAAGAACAATTTGATATACTGTTAGAAGTATAAAATGATAAATTTCTAGAGAACAACAATATGGCAAACTGTATCCAGATTTAATATGTGGATACCCTGTAAACTTAGGAATTGCAACTGGAGAACTCTGTTCTACAGAAATATGGTACGGAGCTGTTTGTATTAATACAAGGATGTTTACTGCAGGATTTTGTATAATAGAAAAATTTAATGTAAATATTCAACAGGCGAATTGTGGTAAATTCATACTATAAAATATTGGTAGCCAAGAAAAAGAATGAGAATCATTTGAAAATAGGTACCTGAAAGGATGGATTCCATTATATATTGAGTGAAAAAACACAAGTTACAGAACAATATATAACCTTTTCCCTTTCTTGTAGAAAAATAAAACCACAAAACCAAAAATGTATTATCTGTATGTTGAATATATGCATAAAGTATTTCCCAAACTTTTAATACTGGCTACTCAGAAAAGAAATGGAAAAACTCAATCTTTATTTTATACTGTTTTGTACTTTTTTCAACAATCTGTCACTACTTTGCAATTTTTTTTACTTAAAACAAGAAGGAAAAAAATGGTTTCCCTTGGCGTATGCCAGTCACAAATTATGATTAAATATATTATAAACTATTTCTCCCTTTAATTTTTGGTTTCAGTTATGGTATTTGAATACTTTTTAGGCATGAGTAGAATAACCTTGAAATTTATGCTAGAAAGAATAGAATTAGAACTGCCATTTCTTTAGTTGTTTTCCTGTATCTTTTGAAATAGACACGTAGTTTCAGATGTTCTGAAATTTGTGGTGGGAATAAAACTTGGCACTCTCAAGAATGGCCATGTTTCTTTACATGATTGGGTGCTTTAAATGAAAAATTAGCCTATATATAACATTAAAAGACATATGAGAATTAAGTGAGATGATTTCTGGAATGGCAATATGAGGCACTCTGCAGACCCACTCCCCATTGAAACAACCATAATTAGTGAAAATTATTTTTTAAAAAACTAACGTTTTGGAAATTGTCCTAAGACTATAGAGCAAATGAAGAAACATTTATTTTTTTAAAATACCTACTATATCTTATTAAAAATAGCAAGTTTCTGAGGTGCTTGAGCCACAACTTGCTAACCATCCCCCCCAGCTTTCCCCCATTCCCCACACCCACAGCTCCTAGTCAAGGGCTATAGCATCTCCATTGGAAAAGGAGGCTGCTAGCATTTCTCATCCTTCCAGCTCTGTACTGCAGAGGCTAAATTCCTCATGAGTGTGGCCAAAGATGGGGGTTCAGTCCTTCCACTTACCCACCATTCATAGGGCAGGGGCTGTACCCCAGTTGTGGCAGCAGGCTGAGAATACTGGGTCCCCGGTTCTCACTGCAGCTCACTCATAGGTTAGAGATTTCATGCCAGGAGAGAGGCAAGCTGAAAAAACTCCATCCAGCACCCTGCTCATAAAGCAAGAGTGTTACTCTAAGAGAAGGGCCACTATTCTCAGCCCCAGCTCCAGAGCAGTAGTGGCTTAGAGACTTTGCCTAGAAAAAGAGACAGACCATAAAAATAGAGAGCTGTGAAACTCTCCCTAAAGGAAATGACTTTATTTGGAACACAGTGTGAAGAAGTTCAAGCCTGAGAGCACTCTCGAAAACAGTGGAGATTTTGGTGAGAAGAATGGTATTACCCTGATAAAAAAACTGAAGATACCATATGAAAAGAAAATCCAAAATCAATATCACTTATGAATATAGACATAAAAATCTTCGACAAAATATTAGCAAACTGAATCCTGCAATATAGAAAAAGGACGTACACCATGACTAAGTGGGATTTATCCCAGGTATGCAGTTTCAGTTTAACATTTAAAAATCAATTAGTATAATACATCATCTCAATAAAGGACAAAATCCATGTGATTATCTCAGTAGGTACAGCCAAAGCATTTGACAAAATCCATCACCCTTTCTTTAGAATGCTCAATAAGCTAGGAATATAAAAGAACTTCCTCATCCTTATAATGGGCATCTATGAAAATCCACAGTTGATATCATTCTTAATGGTAAAAGACTAAATGCTTTCCCCTAAGTACTGAGACAAGACAAGGATGTCTGCTTGTGCCATTTTTACTTAACTGGAGGTTCTAGCTAGAGCAATTAGGCAAGAAAATAAAAGGCATCCAAACTGAAAAGGAAGAAGTAAAACTATCTCTACGTACAGATTATATGATCATGTATACAGAAAATTCTAAGGAATACACACTCCACACACAAACACATACACACACACACACACACACACACCACACACATACAGACAACATATTGGAACTAATAAATAAGTCTAGCAAAGTTGCAGGATATAAGATTAGTATACAGAAATTAACTGTGTTTCTATACACTTTAAACAAATAATCCAAATTGAAATTAAGAAAATAATTTCCTTTAGAATAGCATTAAAAAGAATAAAATATTTGGGAATAAATTCGTCAAAAGAAGTGCAAAACTTACACTCTGAAAACTGAAATCATTGTTGAAAGAAATTAAAGAATAACTAAATGGAAAGAAATCCCATGTTTATGGATTGGAAAAGTTAAGATGACAGTAGTCTTAAATTGAACTGCAAGTTGAATGCAGTTTCTATCAAAATTCTAGGTGGCTTCTTTGCATGAATTGACAAGCCTATTCTAAAATTCATATGGATATTCAAGGGACCCAGAATCGCCAAAATAATTCACCAGATTGGGCAACATAGAGAGACCCTGGCTCTACAAAAATTTTTTAAAAAAATTAGCTGAGCACACAGTGGTGTGCACCTGTGTTCTCAGCTACTCAAGAGGCTGAGGTGGAAGGATGGCTTGAGCCCTAGAGTTCAAGGTTACAGTAAGCTGTGATTACACCACTGCACTCCAGCCTGGGTGACAGAGTAAGACCCTGTCTCTAAAAAAATGAATTAATTAAAAAATAAAGTGTGCAATTCAGTGGTTTTTAGTATATTTGTGTTCAACCAAAGAAATAGCACTGCTGTGGGTTTTGATCCTAGATCTTCTACCTCCTAAATTATAAGAGTTTAAATAGACTTGATTTACATGCTATGCTGTGACTTTAGAGCCTAACCCAAATATGGTATCTCTGTTAACATGGGTGAATCGTATGATTTGGGAATTATGTCAAACAGTGGAATTGCATATTATATTTAGCAGGTAGAGGATCAAAACCCATAGCAGCCAGTATTTCCTGTTGTTATCCTAGCAAGAGAAATTTGCTATTTCTTTGGTTGAACATGAAGTATGACTCGTTGCCTTTATTTAGGGGTTGTATTATGTGAATAATACAACATTGTTTAAGACAGGCACTCAAAATCAGGCTGATTGAAGACCTATTGGATACATTTCCCATCTCATGCTAATGTGGATGTAAATAAAATCATATGGCTTCTGAAATTACCTGCATTATTAGTTTTCCCTTTTTCCAGGCCAAGCCCACGTTGTTGAATTTGTATATGTTTAATGTTAGTATGATTCAATTCACTCTACCACTAACACTTTTTTTTTTTCTCTTGAAACTGGGTCTTGCTATGTTGCCCAGGCTGGTCTTGAACTCCTGAGCTCAAGGGATCCTTCCACATCAGCCTTCTGAGTAGCTGGGTCTACAGGCATGTGCCACCTTGCCCAGCTTGAAGTACTTTTATAATCCATGAAGTCTATAAATGTTTGTTAATAGTTCTAGAATTACTCTTCAATTAATTAGGATTAGATTCTGTTGTATTTAATAGAAAATAAGAGGCTTAAACAGGTAAGGATTATTCTTTCACATAAAGAAGTTATGAATTACATCATGTTGTACGCCATAAATATATACAGTTTTTGTCAATTAAGAAATAAAATTTTTTTAAAAACTTATGTATTAGTCTAGGACTGGTAAGCAAGTCCTGTCATCAGGAACCCAAGCCCTTTCTGTTGTCTGCTTTACTCTCAGTAAATAACACTTTGTGGTGGCAAGATGGCTGCCTCACATCCCAGCCTCAGGCATAGTTGGGGGAGAAGGGCAGAGGGATAGGTCTCCTATCTGAAAAATAGGAGCAGGAAAAATTCTTTCTAGCTGAGTACATTTGCCACATAATTTTACTAGTAAGGGGGAGGTGATATTGAATAAGCATAATAGAAAATGCCACAACTCTGGTAAAAAACTTCTCTAATAATTGAGAAAAACTTATTTACTGTGTTCTTTTTGTTAGATTCTGAACAGAAATTGTCTCTCCTGTCAGAGGAACAACAAGCAACAAGCACTTTAGTAGAAACCATTAGGCAGAGTATTCAGCATAATGATGTTCTTAAACCCATCATCCTGCTTTCACAGCTAATGAAACCAGACATGAAAAGACAAAGGTAATAATACAGTATTTTTTGCCTGGTATGCCACTCAATAATTCCATTTTTTAAAAAGTTGTTTTACTTTTTAAAATATTTCTACTTGTAAAAGAAATACATTGCAAAACATCTGATTGTTTTAAAAAGTGCTACACGGATATATGCATTCATACTTGAACACAAATACATATAATAAAAGTGGGGGAATAGATTAAGAAAATAATTCATGGATGTCTAAAATGTACTGTCTTTTGGAAACATTGCTGCTATTCACTGGAAACCTATAGTTAACATTGATATATATATGTACTACTTGCTAAGGTTCTGTGGTACCCACACTTCTTTTCTTGTTGGATGTAAAAGAATATGGGATTAGTAGTAGAAACAATTTAGGAAAGTGATAGAAGCAGTGAACTAAAAGGATGTGGAGCTCTTCTGACCCTGTTACTACTATCTGCTAACATGCTTGGATTAGTACTCATCCCCCTCCGTGTAAGTGAATTTTGCAGTGGAAGCTTCAGAAAAGGTGGCGTAATCAATTATATCAAACATTACTGATGTTTCCAGGGTCCCCTTCAAGTTTCTTCAGTCACGGCAACTTTGAATATAATCTCAGAAGTAATAGATAAAGAATTGATAATAAAATGGATGGATCCACTTGTAATCTCTACAGTTGGAGGTAGAGATGACCATCAGAATCTAGAGTAGCTTGCTTCAAGCATCTGTAGTTTATAAGGGCAGTAATATTGGAAATGTCATGTTACAGCTTCTGAAGCTTCTAAAGAAAGCTATATGAAATGTTATTAGAATCAGCATTACCTTCTTATTTTTTCCTATGTAAATCAGTTCAGTTCTTAAATTTTCCTCTCATCTTTATTTTTAACAACTGAGTCGTGAAGCTCATTTTTAATGTTTCATTTGCGAAATTTTTATATTCACAAACCAAATAAAGGTGATTTGTCCTTTGCTATTGGGTTAATAATACAGAGACCATACCACCTTTCACAGTTGTGTTCACAGGTTTTACTCATAAATTAATCTGTTACTTTGTAGAGTGGCAAAAGATGAGAGGAGACTCTGCTTTTGCATATTTTTTTTTTTATTTCAGCATATTATGGGGGTACAGATGTTTAGGTTACGTATGTTGCCTTTGACCCCCTTCCCCCCTAAGTCCGAGTTTCAAATATGTCCATTCTTCGGGTAGTGCGCATTGCACCATTTGTGTGTGCATATACCCCTCCCCTCCTCCCTCCTCCCCCCTCCCCCTGCCCAACATCCAATAGATGTTATTCTTATGTGTGCACTTATGTGTTGATCATTTTAATTAGAAATTTAAAAGTTATGTTACTTATATTGTTAAAAAATTATTATAATAGAGTTAAAATGAGCCATTTTGTTATTGGTGTGAAGCTTTATGCCCATTAGCCTTTCCTTTTTACCTTTTTAATTTGAAATAGAGACTCACAGGAAGTTGTACACATTATACAGAGTTCAGTGTACCTTTCACCCAGCTTCCTCCAAAGGTGACATCTCATATAACCATAGTGTAATATCAAAACCGGGATATTGATGTACATACATTATTGTTAACTAGATTACAGAACTTAGTCTGTTTTCACCATTTAAAAAAAACATGCATCTGTTATTTTCATAGTATTTTTCCACTAACTTTTAAAATATATTTGTTTTATAGGAGTTTGTACAGAGAAATCCTCTTCTTATCATTAGTGTCTCTAGGAAGAGAGAATATTGATATTGGTAAGTAGTTAATAAGGGATTACTGAAGCAACTTCTTAGTTTTATTTTCTAAAGTAATTTTTAAAAATTGTAGATGGTATGTGCCAATACTTCACTTGCCTTTAAAAGGATTTCTACATTTAGAGCTGGGCATGGTGGCTCATGCCTGTACTCCTAGCAATTTGGGAGGCTGAGGTGAGAGAACCACTTTGAGGCCAGGAGTTCGAGACCAACCTGGGCAGCATAGTGAGACCCATCTCCAAAAAAAATTAAATTTACTCCCCCAAAAAAAGGATTTCTACCTTTAAATATGTAGTTATGTAATTTGACTCAGTATCATTTTTAAATGAATGGCTTTTGTTTATTAACAAATTACAACTACATTTTTGAAAATTTCTTTCAGAGGCTTTTGATGATGAATATGGAATTGCATACAACAGTCTGCCTTCAGAGATTCTTGGAAAGTTGCAGAAAATTGATGCTCCACCGAGTATCAGTGTGGAGTGGTGCAGGAAGTGTTTCGGAGCACCTCTCATTTAAATAAAGAGATCCATTAGAATTTTGAACACATAAGGCTGGGGGAATAGAGTCAATCTGGAAACATTCAAGGTTTTTTCCAAATCCTGGGAAATGGTGAAAACTGAAATGAAGTAATTCTTGGGGGCAATATATAATGAATTGTAATTCATACTGAATCATCTCTAAATGTAAAATGTCATTAAAATGTCCCAGAGTTTATTGACATTGAAAATTTTCAACTCCTGAACTGTTTCTCTGCCTCTGCTGAAAACTATGGAATTTCTCAGTATTTGTTGTAGATAGAAATAATGAGAAACCATATTCATTAGAGGCATTTTGTTTATATCTGAAGCTATTGGGTTTGGGGACTGGCAAATTAAACTTGCCTAACCCCCAAAACAAATGAAATTTCTCAATTATAAGAGCAACTATTTGTTTATGTGTGTATATGTGTGAGGCTGTGTAGGTATGTGTATATACAGCCATATTATAATGTATATTTATTAAAATTCTTAGATTGAGTGTTGCAATAGTTTTCTGAAAGGGTCCCATTGACTATTAAATAAATGACTACTGTTAAACTCATCTGTAGTCATTAATCTCAAAATTACCTGAAAGTCTGATGACAACTGCCTTTCCCTCTGACTTTGCATTTAATGTATCTTTACCTTTCATATCATGTATTATCTTGCTTAATGGGATTGTATCTTGAATATACAGTTATTTCCATCCTCATCCCAATACCTTAATTTGCAACAGCTTTAAAATTGGAATAAATGAGCCAGTCATCAGACAGTTAAAATGAAATTAAATCAGCTTCCTAATAATTAATGAAATTAATCAGAACATGCTTTAAATGCTAAAGTGTATGTCATTGGACCTGAAATCTTTGTTCAGGCACATAAATTGTTGGTATTAGTCACTTTTTAAAACCTGTGGGATAAACTTGCACTGCACAGTTGTTTTATTCTTGTATAATATTTAGATTTATATGCTTGTGAGTAAATTGTGCATTTGTAAATACTGTTTTTAATTAAGGTTGAATCAATTAAGTCTTAAAACTTTAAAGCTTATTGAGTTTGTTGCCAGTAGGTTTAAGAAAATCATGACCTCACATGCCTTACTTTGACATTTATCATGCCTTTTGTTAAAAACATCCCTTAGGAACAAGTTTGCCTTAACACTCTGTGTGGTTTAAGAAGCCAATGGTTCTATGTGTGCGTTTACAGTAAATTTATGCAGATGATTAAATCATTGACACAAAAACTTTGCTTCCACGTGGTGGAGTTAACAGCACAACTCTCTTTTCTACCTGGTGTAACCTTTTAAAAACTGTAGTTATTGTACCAGTCTTTCAACATTTCAGGGTTATTCTGACCTATGCAGAATTGTAGTCTGAATTTATTGTGAAAATGCAAAGCGAAATAACTTGTTAGAAATTATGTACAATTTTCATTACCTTCAAAATGGATTTTTTGCACTGTCACAGAGTATATATTTTGCAACTTAAGGCCTGGTACTAGTTTTAATACTTAATTAACACTTACTGACCCAACAAAGTTTGGAATTACCTTGCATATAAAAAAATTGAGGTTGAATAAAATGAAAAATTAAATTTGCTGTGCTTGTCTGTTACATTAAACTTCCTGAGATCTGTAGGATTAACTTGCATCTTTGTGATATTTAGAATTCCAGTATTCTTTTATTTCTTCTCTGTAGTCTTCACAACTGTTATTTACCAAAGCACTTCCCTTTTAAAAAATCTATAATGAAGCTTACATGTTTAGGCTATACCAAATTATCTTTCCTAATACTTTTTAAAATAACATTTAAAATAACTTTCAGCAATTATACCTTGAAAACCTTAGCATGGTGCTGCTACTTGGATGTTAAGAACTGATTTCTTGTATTAAACTGCTTAAAGGCTTTTTCCCAAGACCAACCACAGAAAAAAAGTACCACTAAAAATTTACAGGAAAAAAAAATCACTAATCTATGGAAAGACTTAGAAATGTCTAGAATGATTTGTAGCACTGAATGAAACTTTAATCCTGGTAACTTCTAAAAGCAATCTTTCAATTTAGTCCAGATTATGTTGGTTTTGGGTTTGATGCTGGATTTATCTTTAGGTGCATGTTGCAGGTCGATTACAACACGCATGGCTAATTGACTCAACTAATGAATATGAATTAACAGGCTCCCATAACTTCAGGATATTCAGTTGCTACCGTTTTACATTTCTGGTACACATTAGTACAAGATTGGACCTTTATTGTTTTATAGCTTATTTCATAGCTATACTCCTTGAAATCAGAAAGAGTGGTTCTCATGTTTTGTGCATCACAATCAACCAGGTACTGCTTAGTACTGAACTCCAGGTCATATACCAGACTTGCCTTGTGGCCTTTAAATTACTGTGGCTGTATCATCAGTCCTTTTTGCTTTGGATAACACTACATCTCCCCCTTTTGCTTTTTAAGTTAATCAATTTATATTAATTGCTGATTAAGATTTTTTTCATGTATGCAACTTTTTAACACCACATAGTAAGAGCAATGAGGATTTTTTACTATTGTCAAAGGATCTTACTAGTCCAGGGACCGGTAGTATTGGCCTTATTAGTAACAAAGTGTGGGGCCCTACGCCTCAATCTGCATTTTAGCCAGACCCCTAGGTGATTCTTATGTTCATTTAGATTGTGAAACACTACTTTAGGCGCTGCATATTACCTACAGTTAAAATAGATACTAATTATAGCAAGTAAGGAGCTTGTATTACATCTGTCAACCATAAAACCTGCTGTGCCTTAAGATCCTGCTCTTGTCTGTGTTAGAATAGTTACTATAGAAACTATGGCACATTAAGAAAAACATACTAATACTTTGCCTTTGTTCATTTTTAATTGATGCTAGAATGTTCTTATATAGGTGTGGTCACCTTTCCAGAGCGTGAAATAGAGAAAAACACAAATAACAACTCACTAGAATTGAAAAGCTTTGTTAATGCAATAAATAAATTTGCACTGGTTTAAAAGGCCTTGAAAAGTGTTTAAAAATGGTATCCATCAAAACCATGCCTTAACAAGCTATCTTTTAAAAAATGACAGATGTCCATCTTCACAAGGGCACTTTTTATGTATTAAATTGTGTACAGATGTTTTAAAAAGCTATATTCCTCAAAATAAACTGTATAAAAGATGAATAGTCCTAGTCATTTATTTCCCTTAAGCTGTTTGATGCCCTTCTGAAAAGGCAGATAGATGTCTTACACCAAGAATCTTTTCCTGAGCCACCCATCCCCTCAAAAGAAGTCCTTCATCCTGACCGTCTCTCTCTTCTATCACACAAGTCAGTCTCTGATTTTGTCTACCACTGGATTGCTGCATACATTTTCTTTCTAACTTTCTTGTTATACCATCAATGAAAAGGCAGTAAAGCAGATATAGAATATGGTCTTATTTATTATTTAACTCAAAAAATCTTATTTTTGGCTGGACTCAGACTTAGAAGTAGATGCTCTCAGAGAGGACAGCCTACGTCTCTTGGCAATCTGTTCCTGGCGCTTTTCTTTGGCCTCCTAAACAGAATAAAAAAGCAGATTTAAAAATGCAAATCCAAAGCCACCCTGATTTTTCTTCCCCCAAATCTTAGGCTTACCTTCATTCTCTTGGCCAAAAGTTTAGCATATTCTGCAGCCTCTTCCTTATTTTTCTTAGTACGCTGCTTCTTCAGAGCAATACGCCGGCGTTTATGTTGCAAGACACGTGGAGTTACAAGTCGCTGAATCTTGGGTGCTTTGGTCCTAGGTTTCTTACCTAAAAATTCAAATGATTCAATCATTTCAAGCATATGCTTGTTCAGTAGGATCCACTTTTAAAATGTTAGAAACAGAGATAAGCTTACTTGAATTAACAATGCCTATGCAATTTTGAGGCCTTTTAAATGAAATCTTAACTATTTTACAACTATTCTAAGATGTGCTAAATACGGTCACAATATAAGGAAAACTAAAGTCCTGAAAAATAACCAGGCTAACTTTACTATGTCAGTGTTTCTACTAAAACATAGTGGCATTATTTTAAAACAATCTAACTGTGAACATAGTCAACTGGTCTTTGAAAACTACGTAAACCATTATCTACTTCTTCACCCTACCATTTTATGCTTACAACTCTATTTTCCATGACTGCTCCTGCCAATTTAGGGGAACATAACCATTAACATCAGAATGTGTGGCATGTTGTTTTATATAGAGTATCTTCATTTAGCCCTTCTGATTTGTACTCCAAAAGTGCTTATGGATTAGAGATCTACTCTGGAGCAGAAGCATTCATTTTATTTTTTTTTTTGAGACCGAGTCTCACTGTGTTGCCCAGGCTAGAGTGCCGTGGCGTGGTCTTAGCTCACAGCAACCTCAAACTCCTGGGCTCAAGCAA